GACCCTGCCTCAAAAAATTCAAAAGTGGGCTGGGGAGTTAGCTCAGTGGCACCACGCCTGCCTTTCAAGCACAAAGTCCTGTGATGGATACCTGGTACTGGGGCGGGGGGAGGGGGAAGCCTTAAGAGGGAAATTTAAATGGTTAGGGAATGACTGACTGATAATTTTATAGTCAACTAAGCAAAATAATAATAGTAAAGAAAACACTGGGCTGGGGATTTAGCTCAGAGGTTCCACCATCTGCCTTGAAAATGCAAGGTCCCGAGTTAAATCCTCGGTCACCCCTCCACAAAAAAAGAAAAAAGAAAAAATGAAGTTGACATTACTTGGTTGTGAGTAGCTTTTCCCAATTCTAATAAGGCAGACACTCAGTAATTGTATTGCCTATTGGGAAGAGGGGAAGGGGAAATGTGTCTATGTGGCAGGAAGTAGGGAATGGGTAAAAGTTGAGTCCTTTATCTATAGTGTGGGAACTCAATAAGAAAATGGTGGGCCAGGCATTTAGCTCAGTGGTTCTGCCACCTGCTTCACAAGAGCAAGGACCTGAGTTTGGTCCCTGGTACCAAAAATAAATAAATAAATAAAAGCCTGAACTTTGCCTAGTATGGTGGGACATGCTTATAATCCCAACACTCTGGGAGGCTGAGGATTGAAAGTTCAAACCCAGCCTAGGCAACTTGGCAGTTTAGCAAAACCCTCTCTCAAAATCAAAAACAAAAAAGGGGGCTGGAGATTTAGCACAGTGGTTCCATCGCGCCTGCTTCACAAACGCAAGGTCCTGATTTTGATCCCCGGTACCAAAAGGTGCGGGGAATGAGGATATAGTTCAATGCAAAGCCCTGGGGTTCATTTTCCACTACCACACACATGCATACATACACACAGAAAAGAAAAGAGAATAAGAAAAGAAAAAGGAAAGATGCCTAAATCTTAAAAAGCAATGAGTTGGAAGAAAGCCTCTTTTATAAACTGTGCTGGAAAAACTGGCTTCCCACATGCCAAAGATTAGAACTAGACCCATATCTTTCATCAGGCACTAAACTAAAATTGAAATGGATCGAAGATCTAAATACTGAAACAGAAACACTAAATCTGCTGGCAGATAGAATAGGTAGAACAATTAAGGACATTGGTATAGGCAAAGACTTTATGACAAAACCCCAATCACACAGGAAATATCACAAAGAATCGACAACTGGGATTTCATTTAAAAAAATTATTATTTTTTTTTTCAAAACTGGGGTTGAACTCAGGGCCTTGTACTTGTGAGGCAGGCGCAGCTCTACTGAGCTAAATCCCCAGCCCTGCAAAAGCTTTTTCACAGCAAAAGAAACCACCAACAGAGTAAAGATACAACTCATGGAGTGGGGAAAAAGTTTTGCCAGCTGTTCCTCAGACAAAGGACTGGTCTGGGGATTTAGCTCAGTGGTTCCGCCACCTGCCTCTCAAGTGTAAGGACCCAAGTTCAATCCCTGGTACCAAGCAAACAAACAAACAAAAAACCTCAGATAAAAGACTAATATCTAGAATACGTAAAGAACTCAAAAAAACCAGACCCCCTCAAATTTAAATACCCAATCCAAAATGACACTCTTCAGATGAAATAGAAACAGCAAATAAATACATGGAAAAATGTTCAACATCGCTGGTCATTCAAGAGATGCAAATCTTTAAAAAAGATGCATATTAAAACAAGGCTGAAGCCAGGCATGGGTGGCACACACCTGTAATCCCAGCACTCGGGAGTCTGAGGCAGAAAAATCGCTGTGAGTTCGAGACGAGCCTGGGCTACATAGTGAGTTCCAGGTCAGTCTCAACTATACAGTGAGACCCTGTCTCAAAAAACAAAAACAAACAAACAGAAAAACAAGGCTGAGATTCCATCTCATTCCAGAAAGAATGGCTGCTATTAAGAAATCAACCAATAACAAATGCTGAGGGGGCTTGGGGCGGGGAGAACCCTTCTCCACTGCTGGTGGGAGTATAGACTGGTGCAACCACTGTGGAAATCAGTGTGGCGATTCCCTGAAAAACTAAAATTAGAGGTTGCATTCATCCAGCTATTCTACTTGGTATCTTCCCAAAAGAATTAACATCATACCATAGTGATATATGTATGCATACCCGTGTTTATAGCAGCACAGTTTGTAATAGTTAAATCTTGGAAACAGCCCAAATGCCCATCAACCAATGAATAGATAAAGAAGATACAGGATTGGTTGGTTTGTTTTTTACAATGGAGTATATTACTCTGCCCTAAAGAAGATACACTTCAGACATTTATAGCTAAATGGATGGACCATGAGACCATACTCTCTCTTTTTTTTTTATTGGCACCGGGGATGGAACTCAGGCCCTTGTGCTTGCAAGGCACGCAGTGAAACCACTGAGCTAAATCCCTGGCCCCCAAGACCATACTCTTAAATGAAATAAATTGAACATACATGTTTAAATATTTCATTGTTTCTCCGGTGTGAGATGCTGAAAGTGTAAATAAGGAGCAAAAAGTGTAATGGCTATTGGGAAATGGGAAGGAAATGTTCAAATGAGAAGGGAAACAAGGGAGGGGGAGAGGGAAAGGAAAGAAGACAAGAAAGAGAATAGAAGAAAAAATGGAAACAAAGCTTTTGTTAAATAAGGAAGGGAATGAGAAAAAAAGGAGGAAGATATATCATGTACAGGTACAAATTCCCTATGATGAATATTATCATTATGTATATCTAAAATGTAAGAAAAAAAGCAAGAAGCTGCAATTTACGTGTTACTTGGAGGATAGGAGGCAAATACCAAAATAACCAGCTAAAGCATTAATAATAGCAGAACAAGGTGCACTGTCATTCACCTGTAGTCCCAGCTACTACTCTGGTGGCTGAGGCAAGAGGATCCCTTGATCCTAGAAGTTCAAGGATACCTGGGCTACATAGACTTTATCTCAAAGAAAATAAAACAACAAAAACAGAAGTTTAATAAAAACTAGCCAGGTATGATGGTATATATCTGATGTCCCAGCATTCTGAGACACTAAGGCAGAAAGATTACAATTTCGAGCCCAGCAATTTTTTTTTTGGTACCAGGGATCGAACTCCAGTCCTTGTGCTTGCAAAGAAGGTAGCGGAACCACTGAACTAAATCCCTGGCCCTCAGCAATTTTTTTTTTTTTTTTTTTTTTTTGAGGCAGGGTCTCACTATGTAGTTGAGACCGACCTGGAACTCACTATGTGTAGCCCAGGTGGGTTTGAACTCACAGCAATCCTCCTGCCTCAGCCTCCCGAGTGCTGGGATTATAGGCATGTGCCACCACACCCAGTTTAGCAATTTATTTTTAAATCTAAATTAATTTTTTGAAACGGCATCTTGCTGTGTAGTTCAGACTGGCCTTGAATTCGTGGTGACCCACCTGCATCAGCCTCCCAAGTGCTGGGATTAGAGGTGTGTGCCACCATGCCCAGCTAGCCTGGGCAATTTAGAGAAAACCTGTCTCAAAATGAAAAGTGAAAAGGCCGGGGATTAGCTCAGTGCACTGCGCCTGCCTCAAAGTGCAAGGTCCTGAATTCAATCCCTGGTACTGAGAAAAAAAGTAAAAAAGGCCTGGCAACATAGCTCAGTGGAAAGGCTTGGGATTCAATTGCCAGTATTACAAAGCAAAACAAAAATGTAAAAACTAATAGTTTCTTTTAGGGAGTTGGGTTTGGGATTAAGATGGAGGAACTCTTCAAAATCTTGTAGAAGTACTCTTTTTTATATGCACCTATTAATCTGATTAAAGGTGAAACTAAATTTGAAAAGTTATGCAGTGGCAGGACCTTGGGTTCACAGAAAAGTATGCTGGCACTGAAGATAGAGTGGTGGGCAGGGCCATATTATGATAGGACTTTGAATGCCAGCTGCTAAAGTGTTTCAAGTTCATTCTCTAAAAGCAGCACAAAGCTGCTCAATCCTTCTGAGCAGGGGAGGGACAAGTCAGACTCATGCTTGGGGAAGGTAGCTGAGTACATCTGAGCCAGGAGGGACCCTAGAGATTACCCAGTAAGTCTGACTTCCTTCCAGTGTGGACAGACGGGTGTGTGCCGGAGGGAAGCACACACAGCGGGGTTCATTTGGACCCTTCTCTGCTCTGACCAGCCCTTCTTACCCTCACTCTTGCTTCCAGTCTCCTGAAAGGACGAGGAAACCAGGTTTGCTCCTCCTTGACTCCTCAGTGTCCGCCTCCGTTTGGCCCAGTGCGCTTCCCAAGTACAGTAATCACCCTACCAGGTTGTTCTTCAGCTCTTTCTAAGCTCTTGGTGAATCGGGACCAGTTTAATAGTTAATACCCCAAAGCCCAGTGGCATTGGATTGGGTTAATTAATTAATTTACAGTGACAAAGTTTCACATTTATTGAAGGTAGGGGGAAAAAAAAAACAGAAGGGAAAAATCCACAGAAGGGTAGGGGAAGAACAAACTCAGAAGAGTGAATTTTTGGGACAAAGAAAAAGGGAAGGGAAAAAAAAAAAGATACACCTATGGCCCATGGAGGCCGTCATGCAGAGGTGTGATAGCTGGGGTTGGATTTTAATTCTTAACATTTACTAAGACCTTCCTCTGTACGAGGCACTGTGCTGAATGCTTGATAGCAGTTCAGAATCTTCACAGCCAACCTGTGAGGTGAGTGATTATCCCTGTTTTACCAACGAGCTCAAAGAATAGCTGCCCACAGTCATCTAGCTCATCAGTGGTAGAATTTTTTGTGGTTCGGTTTTGGTTATTTTTGGTTGTGAGTATTGAACTCAGGGCCTCATGTATGCTAGGCAGGCAGGCCACCACTCAGTCCCAGCTCCAAGCCAAGCTGAAGTCGTAAATGGCAGTCTGCTCGCTTCCAAAGCCCACTCTGAATCATCCTGTTTCCATGCTTCTTGACAGTGAAGCGCGGTTGGTTGGATCACGAGGTAGGGGTCTCTGGAAACTCCAGGGAAACCCAGAGCCCAGAACCTGGGACTAATTCCTTCTTCCACTCCCCCAGGCTTCCCTGCGAGCCATCGACGTGAAGATCCTGCAGCAGCTGGTGACCTTGAATGAGGGCATCGAGGCAGTGCGCTGGCTGCTGGAGGAGCGGGGAACGTTGACCAGCCACTGCAGTAGCCTCACCAGCAGCCAATATAGCCTGACGGGCGGGAGCCCGGGCTGCTCAAGGCGGGGCAGCTGGGACAGCCTGCCAGACACCAACTCCACTGACCGACTGGACAGTGTCTCTATTGGCAGCTTCTTGGACACCGTGGCCCCCAGAGAACCAGACGAACAGGGACCCCCTGGGGCTCCCTGTCCCGAGATGGACTGGGCAAAGGTTATACCTGGTGAGGAGAAGGCCAGGACTGATGTGGATCTGACAGCCGCCAGGCTAGGGAGCTTGAGGGCTTTGTGGAGGCCCCCGGGAGAGGGGCTGCAAGGTGGGCCACCTGCGCCACCAGAGGATGAGAGTGCCACGCTGGGCTTTGAGGCTCACTGGTACTGGGGACAGTGCCAAGATGATGTGACCTTCTTGTAACAATTTTTGCACCCTTTTGTATTCATTCCTTTGGCACTTTAACCCTCGGTCCTGGTGTCTCTCAAAATTTGTTCTCCCTCAAATCTGGGACTAGGAATAGGCTACACTGAAATCAGTTACCATGGAAACCTGGCACACCATTCCTCTGGTCCCTGGAGAGTCTCCATCTTTATCCCTCAGTTATCTGGTCCCTAGAGCTATTGCTGTAGAGATGCTGACTCTAGATGCTTGGGGTGTGGCTCTTTGTGTGGGGTATCTCCATCTTCTTCTCCTCGCCATGTAAGGATTTTAGACCCACGGGAGATCATTGATGAAATGGGAGGGGTGTAGTTACCTCACCCAAAGTCTAGGAGCTTTGTCTTCTCTTGGCCAAGATGGAAGGTTGAAGGACATGAACATTCGACCCTCCATGGGTTTGTTCTCCCAGAAGGCTTTGGAGTTGGTAGACCCACCCCTTCCTGTCCGTTGAGTGATAACATTTCCTGCCAGGATGGACTTAGCCATTCTGTACAAATCCTTGGATGGTATGTGATCAGGATGTGTGAGCCCCTGCTGCTAAGTGAGACCAATCACTTAATGTCTATTCCATTACTTCTTTGGAGTGGGAACACGTCACCCCTCCTCACAGGAAAGTTTCTCGTTAGAAGACTGTGTGCTGCTTTTCAGACAGGATGTTCTCATTTTGTCCTTGTGGGGGTCTCACTTCCTCGGTGGCTGCGTTCCTCTCTGGTACCAATACTCTTATCTCTGTTCTTTTAGGGCGAGAAACTGTCAGAGGCCTCCACCTACGGCTCTCAAGTCTGCTTGCCCACTCTGCCACAGACCTCTGTTTTCCCCTGTTCCGGGCCTGCCCTGTTTCTGTATTCTGACTTCATATCTCCTGCTATGAAGGTTCGGTTTCTGTGCCTTTGTAACTTCTTTTCCTCTTCTCCCTTCAGTCCTTTAATATGCAGATGAGTCCTGGCCTCACCCCACTGCAGATGGGAGCTGGAGAGGGAGAAACTTGAGGTCTCAAGGCTCTGAGATTATTCCAGAATCTTGGATGCTGGGGAGGTGTTATCTTCTCTGAGTCTGTGATTACCCTTCCCCCACCCTGTCCACCTTCCACCATTTGGTCACAGGGACGCCTGCCTGCAGTTGGGACAACAAGGAACCCCCTTGTCTGGGCTACAGTGTGGGCGTGTGACAGGAAAAGACAGAGTCTCTTTTGGTCCTGCCCATAGGGACAGGCAAGGGAAAGTTCTTCCTTGCTCTCTTACAGCTGGCCCTTCACTCCTGGGACCTAAGAAGGGAGCAGGGGACCACCTCTGGGTCTGTGTCCCACAGTCCTAGCTAATTACACCAAAGATAGAATTCAGGGAAACTGCCAACCTGGGGCTCCAGGAGGGGACGTCCCAGAGAGTGGGGGGCTGGGCTCTGGCTGATGTCAGAATGAATTCTTGAAAATTAACCTTCTGAACCTCAGGTAATCATCGCTATTTTTGTTGGCCCTGTCTTTCCTGGACTCTAAAATTAGATTACTAGAGGGGGGGGGAAGGAGGGAATAAGGATGATCTTTGGTTGTTCAGTGTGCTAAGTTGGAAGAGTCTTTGCCAAATTCTAGAGTAGCTGCCATTTCTTTACTTTGTATTTTATGTTGTGGAAGGGAAGGAAGCCAGGCTGATCACCTCTGCCTTCCCCAATACTACTTTCTCTAGTGCTGTGGAGCACCTTCCACCCTGGTCCTTCTGAAGCAATCCATTCCTTCCATGGTTCTCCCATAACAACCCACTTGCCATCCTAACGGAGTGTTTTAAATCTCCAAAGTATCCTCTCAGCACCTTCTTTACTCTCTACCATCCCTGTCCTTACCTTTTCCTGGGGCTCCTGACTTCCCCTCAGACTAGGAATTAAAGTACTGCACCTATTCCAATCCCTACTCTGTAGCCATTTTGTAGTGTGCCCTTGGGAATCACCCTTCCTCTTGGAAGCCATTGTATTTCTTATGGAGGCGTCATCTAGTCCACCAATTTCTGGGTGAAGAGGTTGCCTGCCCCCTTGTGGCCATTATGCGCCATTGCTGTGAGTACTGAGTAGAACCTCCGAGGGCAAATAAACTAGTATAATCTTTCAGATAAACTAGTATAATCTTTCAGACCAGCTGAGGTCACCAGTACATACATAGGCTAGTGTCACCCATTGTAAAACTGTGGCAAAGCGCAGATTGCTTGCCTGCACACCCACAGAACTGCCATTTGACCACACTTTCCAGTCAATGTCCCCAAAGCTCAAACTGGAAACACTTTTGTCATTACAACATTTGGCCCTATCAGTTTCCCACCCTAAAGAGACAGCCCAGTCTTAGAGAAAAAGCAACAGGCTCTGAGGAGAACTCTGGGCCTGAGAGGGTAAAGGGTGTACCAGCCTGCACATCAGCTAGGAGAAAAATCAATCCTGGGCCAACCATTTTTTTTCTGAGACGGGAGGGAAAGTAGGTTCCAACCTCAAGGGGAAAAGTCATTCTTTCAGACCTGGATATTAGAAGCAGGGTGGAATGGGAGAGCAGTCAGACTGGGAAAAGCAGTAGATCTTGTAGAGGGAGGGGTGCACTACAGGCCAGGGGCTGTAGGTTGAGTGGGCAGGCACTGGAGAGTGAGAGTGCTGAGGGGCTGGAGGGAGAGCTGGGCCAAGTGAGGCTTCCTGGAGACTCTGGGTCTTCATACCTTTGACTCCAGCTCCCCATCAGAGAAGCCTAAGAACGCCAAAAAACGTGCAGTCCCGGTCCCTGCTACCTGCCTGTTAACTGGCTGGTTGAGGCTCAGCTGTTAGGTTTGATATTTCTGGGTTACAGGGGAGCTGTTGGGGAGCTCAGAGAACAAGGGAGGAAAAGGATGAGAGATGGAGAAGCAGGAAAGACGAAAACTGCTGCTGAAAGTATGAGAGGGAGCATGCTGCTCTCCGGGTGTGTGGGGAGCATTTATTAGGGTTCGGGGTGAAGGCAGAGATGAGGCTGCTTGTGACAGCTGCTAACACATCCCCTGGGAAAATACTCGGGACCATCCAGGCCCATGAGAGCAGGCGAGTGGGCAGGGCTAAGAACCTGCACTTGGGACACCTGGGGTTGTCATGGACACAAGGCCATTGTGCGCAAGGCGCCAGCCATACACTGGGCATTCAGTTATACCTGTTCAGTGACAGTGGAGAAGCCCATAAGGAAATGTGACTTACAAAAACCACCATTTGCTATTTACAGACTCAGTAATTTAAAAGTCTATTTAATTCTTAGCAACCCTATATATAATACATTGTTGACAATGTGTTGTTCTTAGAAAATTTGCTCAAGGTCGGGTAACAGATGAGCCATACTATGGACTGGGGTCAGTGTGATTGCAGGGACTCCTAGGAAGTCATCTCTGGTTTCCTGCCACACCCTTCATACTCACACATAGCTTTTTCACGTAAGACAATAAGTTAGTGCTGCCCGGGAGTAGAGGCAGTCTGGTAATTTCTTGTTGCTGCTGTGACAAGTTACCACAAATTTAGTGGCTTGAAAATTACATGTGTTATAGCCCTGGAGGTCAGAAGCCTGAAATCAGCTTCCCTGGCTGAGGTGGAAGCGTTGTCAGTCTGTGTCCCTTCAGGAGAACGTAGGAAGAATCTGCTTGTCTTTCCACTTTCTAGAGTCCGCTTGCATTCCTTGATTCCTGCCTCCTGCATCTTTTTTCCCCCTCAGCACTGGGGATTGGACCCAGGACCTTTGTACTGAGAAACATCCCTGGCCCATTTTTTAAAAACATTTTTAGACAGGGTCTCACTAAATTATTAAATTGCGCAGGCTGGCTTTAACCTTTTTTTTTTTTTTTTTTTTTTTTTTT